GCAAAAGAATATATCCCATCCAGTTATGAAATAGGAGCTGTAAATAAACCATGATCAATGGTATCTATGAGCACCTAGTCTGTATAAAACAGTTTCATTTTCACCACTACCTCCTTGAATCCTCACAAAAAGCTCAGTGGCAACTTGGGTTCTCCAGAAGTGATTTTGAGGCAGAATATAATAGACAGAAATTTTGTGAGAGGGTTACCTTAGGATGAACACATCTGGATGAGAGGAGGAGGCAGCAAGACTGGGCAAAAGAGTCCAACTGCATAGCAAGCCTACACAACAACTTTGACTAATTCCAAGGAAGCTCTAAAGCTAAAATGTCCCATAAGAGTTGTCTCATATTGGCCTGAAGTGGCCCCTATTTCCATCAGTCATTGCATATGGGCTTTCCCCAGGAGGAACTTGCTTTGCATGAGGTAGTAACAGGCTGTCTTTGAAGGTGCTGAGAGTGGAAAGCTGCCTGCAGATACCACTACATCAACCAGAATAATGAGTCCTTTGATGGAGAAGGCAACATGTTTCTACGTCTGTTATAAACTTTCTAAAATAGAAGATTAATGAGAATCAGAGATTGGGAAAAGTTAATGTATGTAAGGTCTCTCTGCAAGTAGTAGGTCTGGAAATCGCAGCAGGGATTGTTGATTTAAGTCCACAACTCCTCCCAGTACTTCAAGCTGCCTCTTCAGAACTTAAAAAATATGAAACTCTTTAATAACATACAATTTAAAAATGCTTTTAACATGCTATTTAAAAACCATCTTACCTCTTTCTTTCCTAGCATTTCCCAGGATATTCATCATACTGACTTCTTTTCCTTTGCCTCAAAATAATCACCTCTGCTCCTTTTAGAAAAATCCAGCATTGAATGCATCGTTTCATGTTGTCTATGGTTCGATACCTCTGAAAACTTGTCCCATTTATTATTCTCTCCATCTTACCTTCAGTTTCCTTCTCATGGCTTACATTTCCCATCCCATTGAACATACATTCAGGATTTCCTGTTTCTAGAAGAGAACTTCCGGTAATGGTGTTTCTCACTCCGCTGCCTCTGCTTCTATCTTCTCGATGCCCCCTCTAGAATCCTTGAGATTTAACTTTGTCCCTGTTTTCTATACTCAATCTGTTTCTCAAAGTGCACTGCTGACAGAAATTAGTAAGGGAGATACCCTTTTATTTTCTTGTCAACTTCTTCCTGGAGATCGGTCTTCTCTCCCTGTCTTTCATGTCTAGGCAGTGTTTCTTGTGTCCTCTCACCTGTTCCTCTAAGTCTCAGGTCTTTTCTCAATTCTCTGACTCTGAAGTTTTAAATTCTTTATACTTCTCTCCTGGCCCTCTCCTTCCCTTTGTTTGTGTCATTTCAGTGGTGAGCATTCTTTTGCATCTACATTTCAAGCTATGATCACATTTTTTGAGTTCATGACAGGAATTTACAACTTTACTGTTATACAAATAGAGTTAATTTTAAAGCAGTTGATTATCTAGTAATCTTACTATCATTGATGAAGCAATACATTCTAATTGCTTGAAGTGTGTAACTTCATTGTGTCCTTTCTCAAAAATTTGTTTTCCACTTGTCAAAATCCTAATTATTGTTACAAAGTACCAAATTACTTATTTTATTCATGTATTTTAATATAGTGTGTACGTGATAATCTTTTAAGGTCCTGGAAACTCATCATCTTGTAATTGTCAGAGTATATAGAATATAGAAAGCATTAAAAATATTTGTTCAATGATTTAGGTAAATAAAACACTGATTCAGTGGCCTTGTGGAAATATTCCCTCAATGAACATTAACTTATGCATTCGATACATATTTCTAGAGTGCCTGTTATGTGCCAGGCACTGAGCTAGTTATAGAGAACACAGAAAAAATAAAATTTCTGTACTTCAGGAATGCAGGAGTAGTGTGGAGGCACATAAATAATGTATTACAGTGAATTCTAGGGTAGAATATTGAAGAAACATATGGAAGTATTTTATAAGTCAAATTGACTAGTCAGCAAAATGCCTGTTTATTCAAAGTTAAGTAGTGTATTATATTGCTTTCTATTGAAGGGGAGAAGAATATGCCACCCCAAAATATGCCACTTTGGCATACTGATTATTTTGAATTAAAGTTACTTCAACAGCCAGTGCAAGAATGACATTCTGACCCTCCTATGTTCCCCTAACTGTAGGAAATCTGTCTCCTATGTGAAAGGGACCGTCCCTTTCAAGAAGGGATATTTAGGGTCAAGAAGGCTGTATAAAAACAAGACTTATTGCTTCTTTACTGATTTTACTTCCCCCAGCCCAAATTCTTTGGTCTTACGAATTCTTCACGAATATATTTTTCTTCATTTAAAAGTCATAAAAGCTGCCTGCTTTGATTACTTCTTTAAGCCTCATATCTTTGGGGTTTTCATATGTACAATTTCAAATTTGTTTTTGTTTTTGTTTTTGTTTTTGTTTTCTCCTGTTAACCTATCTTATGTCAATTTAATTGTTAGGCCAGCCAAAGAAATTAGAAGGAAATAAGGGAAACATTTTGCTCCCCTGCACGATTTTCCCATTGGATAGTTTTGGTTTTAGGCCCTTAGTGTTATTAGGCTATTTCTCTATTTGTATACTGTAAAACACACACAAAAATATATACATATATAACATATACAGACATACTCATTTAAAATATGGTGTTCATAAAAATAATTTGATGGTATTTCAACATGTGCAATATAAATAAAACAGGTAAAATCAGTCATTGACTATAAGCACAGAGAATTAATTAGCAAACTATTCTGGCTGCCCTTTCTGCAAACTACTGAATATTTCAAAGGCAGTATCAAAATTGGTTTATTAAATGAGTAAAATAATTGAATGACTATTTTTAAAAAATTAAAGCTAAGTCAACAAATTCTCAAAATTTTAAGGAGCATAAAATCATCAAACATAATAATATACACATAGACACATAGACACTATATTAATTACATAATAATTATAATGAATTAATGATACCATGTATTTTATATAATTAATTATATTGTATATTTTCTATAATTAATGAATTAATTATGTAATTAATATACATATTAATTATATTGTGGTTACTTCCATAATTATTTGTGACTCAGTTTGCTCTCTTTATAAAAGTTAAATTATGTGCTTATTTTCTCCAGTGGTGAAATACAAATAATGATATCCTCTTTTTGAAACAATAACTCAAAGGGAAAAAAAAGAACTACACAGAGGGAGAACTAGGTGCACCTGAAGCTCAGATAATTGTTAATAAATGAAAGAAGCCTTTGTGACAGAAGGGTATTCAGAAACATATCTCAAATGTATGAACTCTTATGTGCCAGCACTGAGCCAAAACCAATGTGTATGAGAGCCAATAGTGTATGTAACAGAAACAATGGTATAAGAGGTGTGAACACGGTTCTCATAGATTTACAATCTATTTGGAAATAGAAGACTAACTCAGTAAATAAAGAAGTGGCACTCCATTGTATTCAGTGTTTTTTGAGTGCTCACTGCAATGCTTCTAAAATTTTTTCACCAAATTACCAGAGAAACCATAACGTATAACCTCAGTGCGGTACGTGTGTGTGTGTGTGTGTGTGTGTGTGTGTGTGTGTGTGTGTGTGTTAGAGACAGAAAGAGAAGAAGAAAGAGAAAATGGGAACAGAAAGATTAAAGTTTATTTTTTGAGCAACATTCTTAACGAGTGTCAGGAGATATGTATTGAAAAGAATGGACATTAACTTTTATATCCCCCTCACATTTCCTTTTTTATTATTCCTAAATTCTCTCCTCCAGCAACCACCAGTAATTAGATATAAATCCATTAAATGAGAATGACGTGCTTGCTGATCTTTAAGATTAGCAAAGAAACGGGGAAAAGCAGTGAGAAAAGTTGGGGTGCAGAGATAAGATTTTCATTGTGCAGCCATGCTTAGGGTAGGAGGAAGTCCCTCAAAACATAGATCAATGGTAGATGTTAAAGAATAATGTAAAATATATAAAATATATTTAAAAATCTATGCCCTGGAAAGTTGGGTGGAGAAGCACATCAAGGGCAGCTTGTTAGGAAATATTAATCACAAAAACCACTACAACTGAACCTCTAGAATCTGTAGATTAAGAGAGAATGAAGAAAAGAGAAATAGAGTGGGAAGAGGATTTAGTGGAGCGTCTTTGATCAAACTAGCAGGTTCTAGAGGTGTTGATTCTTTGTAACACCTGATGTATACTCACCTCTACTACATTCACATGGTTTTTTCCTGAATCAAATGCAGATCTTGAAGCAATTTTCCCAATTCTTCATAATGTAGGCCAGTAATTGTCAAATTTACTTTTGGCTTAGAATTATTGGAGATACAGACACTGGGCTCAAACAGAGAGTTTAGGCCACTAGTTGTGGGATGGGACTAGATAATTTGCATCGCTGCCAGTGCTGATGCTACTGGTTTGGGAACCTCACTTGGAGGACAACTGCTACAAGCTGATCTTTGTTACTACAAAATAGGCATGTACTAACCATGGGTTTAACCGTAGGTTACTTTTCCAAAAAAGACTTGAGTATGTCCAGTTCCACAGACCAGTCTACATTTTTGAAAATAAAATCATGACATGCAAATATCTTAGCTGGAACACTTTAAAGGGTAAAATTTATTCAATCCTGGACCATTGTCTTCACAAATAAGAAATAAATGGATTCCAGTAATCATTGCAATTACCTGTTTTTGCTCATGCCACAAGCCAAAATGAGAAAGTAATGATGCCAAGATGGAGGAGATTTCCTTGGTAGAAGTCAATCAAATCAACTTCTGACAATATATGACTGAATTCTATTTATGTGACAGAATTGTTCCTGCAGTAGAGGGGGGAAGGTAATCTAAACTTGCATCGAGTTGCATTTTCTTTATGACAAAAATCATGCTATATTGCCTATTGGTATCTCAGCATTATTCCATTTAACTTTTGCCATCTTCTCTGTATTACAGAGGCTGGAGGCCAAGAAAACACATATCTCAGACTCCATTCCCCTGCAGAGCTCTGATTTATATTGTACCAAAGAGAGGCTTTTGCACAAGATTTAGGAGAAGGTAAGTCATGACTGCTCCTATTGTGGCAATCACGTGTCTGGCCCCCTGAACACAGGCAAGAGGGGTTTGGTAGAGAGCAGGTTTGTGTGCTTTGGTGGGGGGAAAGTGTAACATTTTACCAGTCATTTCTTATTTTTACTCAATTTGATACATCAGGTAGATAAGATCACTGCTGGGTACTGTGTACAGTTCCAGAATTTCATTAATTCCTGTAGAAGAGAGATTTCCTGACATCCTTGTGGTTATTGCAGACCATTTTTTAATTTTCCAAATTTTATATTTGTCATATATTTGATGGTACAATCTACTGGAAATAGGATATTAAGGAAGCGTACTGTATCTTATACCAATGAAAGCCAACTGTATACAGGTAAAATGGCATCAAATAAGTTTGACTTTAATGATGTTTAAATCTCATTGTAATCCTGCTGACATGAATAAAGAATTATTGCTATTTGTTTGTTTCTTGGGGGAAGTTTTCAAGACTTTGATGACAAATAATTTACACTTAGTCTCTAATTCACAGCTATGTTTCCAATTTCAAACTTTTCTTTCCAGCTTTAATGACTGGTACACAATTGTAGATGGATGAATTGGGGGTAAAAGAGACACATTTACTGTCACAGACTACTAAGTCACACTCACTGTTGATGTTTTTTGTTTTTTTTTTTTTTTGCTTACCAACACTAACAGGTCTGGCCTTTTCCACTTTAGAGTCATTATTTGATTTTCAAGAGAGCATGGTGGTTAGTTCTTTGTTATGGATCTCACAGTTTCAGAATTTATAACCCCAAGAACATTTCTCTCAAAAACACATGTAATAACACTCTTAACACTTTCAAAAATGATGTTCAGTATCAGCACGGACACTTCTTTGAGATTTATAATCCTGATTGGTTTTTGTTATTGCTCAAAACTATATCCTTCTTAGACCTCGAGATACTTTCTAAATCTAATGTCATGGAGAGAGTACAACAGTATATATTCCAAGGTTACAAATCATCGATTGCTTAAATCTCAAATTCGAAGATTGAATCATAAACATTGTTATCTTATGGTCACAATTTCTTTGCTTACATTACTCTTGCAAGATCATAATGCCTAGACTAAAAAATTGGCTTAGCAGTGACATTTCCTGGAACTAGTCAATCATTACTATTTGTACAAATAATAACAAATTTCAAAGTCTGGTTCACCTGTACACTTTAGGTGGCAGAGGCTGCATGGGCACAGAATGCTCTGGACGAGAGGTACTGAGATAGAATTCTAGCCTCCAGTTTGTCAGTAATGAGGTATAGTCCCTGGGCAATGTGATCAGCTGCAGCTTCATTCAGTCTCAACATTCTGTTCTGCAAAACAAAACAATTCTTTAAGGGTAGCTGAGAAGGCCCATCACAAGTATAACATTTTACAACACTTACAATTTCATAGTGTGTACTTGGTATAACTTTATTTACTTTTAGAATAAGCTTTTAAGAAAAGTCTTGAATGTAATTGTTTCATTGGAACAGATCCGTGCTTTTATATACTTATTCTATTATATAATTGCAGTAAGACTGATATTCAATCAAGGATCTATTGTTACAAGCAAAAACCATACTCCCACATGGCAATTAGTTCACAGAGCTCTCCCTCCATAATGATAACCTAGGCCAGTGATAAATCACTTAAAAGAAAAAAAAAAGATTTCAGAAAAAAAAGACTTCTATTTGGAGTATATATAACTAACTGGCTTTCACAAAGAACTGTGCACTTCAAAATACTGACTTACATTTACCATGACAGTTGGATTTGGATTAATTGTCACATTTCACCAGATTTGTGTTGGAAATAGCTGCAGAAGTTCCTGAAACATTCTTGTACATCTAGGACCAGTGCAGAAAGTAAGCTATCATTCAGGCACTCTACAATTAGTGCTTGACACCCAGGATTAGACAACAACGAAACTCTGTCACTCAGTCCAGGACTAACTTTTTTCATTGGAATGACCTTTTCCCTTAAGACAAGTGCCTTGATGGATCCTGACATTTGGGACAAAAATTTAAAATAAAATAAAATAAAATCTAAAAAGGTCAAAAGTTTTCTAAAACCATGTTGTATAAAATGTTTGGATCTTGCTAAGTGACAGCTTAAAGAACTCTAGGTACTATTAAGCGCAAACATTCTTTTTCCCTTGCATTAATGCAACATTAAGATGGTTCCAGTTTGAAATAAAAGTCAAGAATGCAAGAGATATCATTTCCCTAGCAGCAACCTTTTTTTTTCATTCTCTGTAGATGGTTTGTGAGATTAGTAACCTGACAGCTAAAAATAAACTCCAGTATCCAAAGGATTGTGGAAGGGGAGCAGATATTGTTAGGAAAATCTAAGCCTCAAGCACCTGTGTGACACAAGGAATAATTTTAGTTCAATTAAACTGAAGAAGAATTTCTATTTGTGCATCTGTTATTCAATATTTATCAATCCAAGTCCAACATGAGAAGATATTTTTCTCCTGAATTTGTAGTGGGGATCCTTCTCCCCACTGATACAATTTCTATCTTCAGTGCAAAATCACTAGAAAGGGATTGATTTATTCATCAACTAGTCTATAAAGTAAACAACAAGTTTGATTTATATTCTCTCCTCATCTGGACAGCCAATTCATTCAACAAAAATCAAATAGATTTCCTAGCAGACACTGCATTCATTTGTTCATTCATTTGCTGGAGGCTTAAAGGATGAATTGAGAAACGAAAGGATGAATATCCCAAAGGGAAGGATAAGAAGAGCAGAGATTATGCACCATAAACATTTCAAGTGGCCTCTGGCCATCCCCCATACCACCATTGACAAAGTACGATGCGTGCCTTCATCTTGCTTAGGCCAAGTGGCTCCTACCCTCTGGTCCACAAGGCCAGAGCATTGTGGGTGTAAGGGAAGCATCTGAATCTGCAGGTGTGTGATCCTAGAGAAGCATAGAATGCCAGTAATGGAATGAAACTTAGGGGTTACAAATGAGGAAACTGAGGCTTAGAGATGTGATCTAGCTGATGGAAAGGCACAATTGGCGATAGCAATAATGTATTTTGAATGTTAGGCCATAAGATGAGAAAGAAAGATACAGATTAAGGGGGCAGTGGAAGTTAGATTTGGGTGATGGGCAAAAATATTGAGTTGAATTGGAGGGGAAGTGTGGCTACTATTAATCTGTTTATTTTCAAAGCCTTTTTCTTCCAAGAAAGTGACTGATACATAGTAATGAGTGTAAGTAATAAGAGTAAGAAGGTGATAAGAGAAATAAAATGAGAGAATCATCTGTTAGGAAATCAAGGACTGAGAAAGGAAATGCCAACAACTTTAAGTGGGATAGGTTGAAAAGAGGTTATGGTTCAGGATATAAAATATTTCACTCAGAGTTATGTAAATTAATCCACTAAGGTTTTTGTTGTTGTTGTTTAGTTTATTGTCCTGTTTCTTATTCACTTCTGAGCTAAAATAAATGGAATGCAGACAAAATCATCTAGGAGAGGTGCAGAGAAGAAAAGACTTTTTAAATTGTGATTCTTAATCCCATTTCTGGGGCTAATTTAACTCTTTATTCATCACAGCTCTTAGTAATATGGCTTTTTATTGGCCATTCCCTATATGCATTCATTCATGTATGTTTAAAAATCAGGAAGGATTTCTAAGCTTCTTTAGGTAAGGTTAGAAAGGTTTAAAATAAATAGCTCTCTATGGGAGTAATTTGGGATATTGCAGGCCCAGTTTCTTAGAATCACCTGTTGAGATTTTTTTTTAATTTATATAATATCTCTCCTCTGTCAAATCCTGATAGCTTTCCCCCCACTGAACCCCTCCCCTTTGTCAGTGGCTCTCAATTTCCTAATGATTTACCATTACCTATGGAAGTAGATACAGCCTTTAGGTATATGGAGGAAGAAAAAAAATACTTAAAACCCAGCTGACTTATACCGTTGAATAACCATAGAGAGAAAGAAACCATAGAAACTTGGTTTATTTCTGTTATGAATTAAACATAAACAAAAACAACAAAATAACAAAATTCCCAAAAAAGCGGCTGGATTTCTCTTTAAACTAAATATTTTTCACCATCAATCTATTTGGAAGATTAGCTTAAAGAGCTTTGAAAAAGAATGAAATGGAGATTCCTTTTACTAAACAGTTTTTCTTTTAGCCAAACAATCTCATTCTGGCTAGTGTGAAGGCAAAGAATAACACAATAACCATTTGTTATAACAATAGCAATTTGTTATTCTTAATCATTGTTCTAAGAACAACACACATGAGTCAAGTAGAACAAATTTAGATGATAGAAAACCAAAAGAAATGGGCCCAATTATAAATGCATACCCTATTGAATGGCCACAAGTTTGTCAGTTCTAGCTGCTTTTGCATGTCACAGTGTAGGTCTAGCAATATTAAAGAGTAGCCAGTAGGGGCACCTGGGTGGCTTAGTGTCTCAGGTCATAATCTCAAGGTTCATGAGCCCTCTGTGGGCACAGAGCCCACTTTGGACTCTGTGTCTCCCTCTCGCTCTGCCTCTCCCCCACTCATGCTGTCCCTCTCTCTCAAAAGTAAATAAACATTAAAAAAAATTTAAAGAGTAGCCTATAATACAGGCTTTAATGTAAAATCTTACATTTAAAACTGTTAGCAATTAGGGCACCTGGATGGCACAGTTGGTTAAGTTTCCGTCTTTGGCTCAGGTCATGATCTCACCATTAGTGAGTATGAGCCCTGCTTAGGACTCTGTACTAACAGCTCAGAGCCTGGAGCCTGCTTCAGATTCTGTGCCCCTCTCTCTCTGCCCCTCCCCCACTCATATGTACACACTCTCCCTCAAAAATAAACATTAATTTTTTTTTAAATTTGCCAATTAAATTCCATCTTTAACAACTATGCTGTCACACAAAGTACATCCGAAGGCCACTCAGGGACCACCAGTTTTTAATCTCAGTGTTTAGAAAATAAAAATTTCCTTTATTTTTCTCATCTTC